GTCATAACACCTTTTTTATTTTAAAAAATAATCACATTTAATTGATACCAAGTTTTTTGATACATTTAATAAAAACATATAAATAAATGCGATTTTTTTATAAACAAAAAAAAGCACGTCTTGCAATGCTTACTGAAGTATTTAACGAACTTCAAATGTTTGAAGCATATTGACTGGACTCATATCACTATTCTATAAATAAAAACTCGACTATGATTATTAAAATCCACTAACACATTCACCAAGTACAGTAATAACAGAGGAGAGCTTTGATCAGAGTATAATCATCTATAAGAAAAAAATAATATTGAAGATTATATTATAGTATAAAGCAAGTGAGTATTTTCTCTAATCAATCAATTAAGCGTCATTTAATAGAAATATAAGCAACGTTTAGAGGTTTTTTATAGCTGAATTAGAAGTCGAAGGATTTATGTAGATTTGTTGGATGTAAATACGAGCTGAGGAAGAATGAATAGCTGGGAGAGTCCAGGTGCTGCCCGCGTGCCGATCGCCGGCGACGAGAGGCCAAGGGGGAGAGAAAGTCCTCTTGAGAGCAGCCGTTATACCTGCCGACCACTCTCACCAGTCGCAGGACAAGAGAAGAGGCATCTTCTTGAAGGGATTAGTTGATGGCACGTGCCACAGCTACAGGTGTTTCTTTTTTCTTTTGGTGTTGTCCTCAACACCACTTGAATACAAAACCTCCATCATCACCATCATCATCAACACTCTGATAATCAAACTTCATTATCACTCTTCCAATGATCATTCCTACCTACCCAAAAGTCTAATCAAGTCTCGTGGCTTATCACACAAATGAATCATTCAAAAAAATATTACTTGGTGTTGCTTGACAAAAATCAAATGACTATAGATCTTGCTTTCTTATCTTTCTTGTCTCTTTGCCATGCTCCAATAGCTTGAAGTGATTTTTCTTCATTAATAAGACACAGTGTGGCGCTGGATTACCGGTCTGGTCTCGTCGTTAGTTACATACGATGTATATGCATACTCTAGCCACCATCCAGGGGGTTAATGCTCCATCGTGTGCGCGTAATACAAGATGTATGTATACAGACAACTGGTAAGGTACCAAGAGCCAAGCGTAATCAGACGACCGATGCTTACAACGAATGAATATTCTTCGCAAACCTAGTATGGATATCGGGGTTAATGAGTAAAGAGATAAGACATTTTTCTCTTACTATATATTACTTACCAAACGAGTCTTACACTTATTTCACATCAACCTTATGTTCCACACATTCGAGAGAAAAAAAATGTTATTCAAATGAAACTTCACACATTAGTTTTATAATAAAAATCATTTTTTTTTCTATGGAGATTATCTTCTAGATTATTTTGCAATCGATTGGATTGTTTTACATGGAAAAGAGTCTTCATAAAACAAATGCTACCAACTATTTAAGTTTGATGTTTACTTTGAAGATCATGAGAAAGATATTTTTGATTAATAAACATGCTGCTAGTGATCCTTGAAAATTCCTCAAGTGCAAGGGAAAATATTTCCGAAGTTTACTGCAAAGAATTCTTGGCAGGATCGTTAGTTTATGAACCGAAGAGTTACATAATGTATTGACTAAAGTCTTCTCACGAAAGTCAGATTTTTTTTATTTTAACAAACGTACAGTCTCTCTTCTGTCTTGCATTTATACTTGGGTATTCTAAGGATATATACAGTAGCTTTAGCAATTTCTCGATGCACATTGTCACGCGTTGTTAAGCTTTGAGTGGTGCTATTACGTTGAGATGGAGGGAATCAGGCAAAAGCAAGGTTGAAAGAGAGGGCGAAGGCATGTCCAGCATCAGTAGCTCCTATCTGTCTAGTTTAACTAGTACTCTGTGTACACATTTAGCTTATTACTATTTACGTAACAATTCTTTGCTTTGTCATGTTTGATTTCTTACCTATGATTCATTAATTTCTCAATTTGTCGCTGTTTTTTATTGCCAATTATTTTAAATTGTGCTACATTTAGATAAAAATATGCTGTAAACAAGTAATATTTATTCCATTTCATAAAATCAACGTATTCTATTCCGCATGAAAAGACCAAAATTCGTTTGCGCATGCGCAGACAGAATTCGTCACTTTGCTAACCTTAAAACAGACAACAAACATCAATTTTGGACGATGATACCCCTTGCCTTTACCTTGGGATGCAATTTTACACCTAGGTCAGAATATCATACTTTCCGCCCTTGTTTAATAATCTGCTGTTTTTTGTACTCGATTATTTTGAGTATAATTATCTAAGTATTGGTTTCTTCTGTTTCATTGAATTTTAAAGATCCATTGTGTCTTTGAAAGTAAGAATTAATCTAATATCACTCATCATAATTTTGAACCAAATGTAAAAATACGTTGTTCAAACGGAATTCAGTAAAATCTTTAATTGCGAATATTCCAAATTTTATTTATTACTCGAATTAAATTTTTTTCTCAATGTAATGAAAGCAACTCATTGAAGATAGGAAAATGATTTTCTCCATTTAATTAAGATAACCCATTCTCGTGGAGTAAGAAAATGAATTAATTTACTGGTGGATCATGTCTAGTCTAATTTTATTCGAAAGTAGAAATTTCATATCACGAATAATTAAATAAACTTTTATCTGATAATTAAGAAACCAGTTAAAACGTTATCTTGTTTATGACTAATACTGGTATTATTTGTAGCAAAATAATACTTTTTTTCTCCAATTATATCGACAAAAAAGCACGTCATTTAGAAGTAAAAATAAAATTTATAGATCCACAAGGGAGAGTAAAACTGGTAACAATTTGTAAATTGTCTATCGTTTACACTTGGGTGGCCTTGAAAAATATATTTTCAATGATTTTCAGAATTCCAATAGCGATTTTCCCATGAAGTAGCTGTGTTGATAGGGTTTGCAGGGGTAGTTAGCAAAATACCCAACGTTCAGTGGTCATAAACAATTGTTGAACGATGCGTATAGTCTGTAAACGGGTTGTCTTGACCACTTGGACTCCCACGGTGGAGGACCGAGAACGAGAATCCGAGGCGGGTGTGCTTGAACTAAGAAAAGCAAAGGAGAAGAAGAGGAGTAAAAAGAGTATGGAGAGGATAGAGGGCAAGTCTTTATACGTCGTTCAACTCGCTCGTTTTCGCTTACTTCAAGCTCATTTTATCTTTCTTTCTCCTTTATATTCACTTATACTCCGCTTACTCACCCACTTAAACTTATCCGTCCAAGACTTAACTTACGAGCCGGAGGGGGCCTGGACGTTTTCGCTCTTACCCAACGCGCAATCTCACCGACGTTTACGCTGTATACTCGCTACATTCCATCTTCCATTAACTGAGCAGTGGCTGATCTACGAGACGGAGCAAATAGCAAAGAATAACGCTTCCAAACTCCCTAATCAGCCTATGCTCGAGTCGTAATATGTAGCCTAAGAATATATATATTCTCTGCTGGAAATCAGTAACTTTGCACGAAAAATAAATCATTATAGTTGAAAATTTATTGGTAATAAAATTTTTTACGATTATTTTTAGATAAAAGTATTGGAAAAATAATAAATTAATTATTTTTATAAACAATAATTGAAAATGAATTATTTATTGGTATGTTTAAGTCGTTTTAGATCATTTTTGTCAGTTTCTAAGGTAATTTTAAATACTTCAATACTAGGATTGTAAAGTATGAAAAAAATACCTATATTTCGAGTCGGGATATTTTTAGTAATAGTAAAAATAGAGTAAATAGTTTTTCTCCGCATAGTTTAGTATAAAATATAAGTAATACAATTTTTTATGTTGGTAAATCAAGAATTGGAATGGAAGAAATGCAATAAATAACAAATAAAACTTGATGATAAGTATAATAAAATAAACAAGAATTTACTTTTTTCTTTTCTCCACTGATACTCTGATCTCACTTGTTTTTCTATACGTTCATAAATAATTTACAGCCTACACTACCAGTGTATAGTGATGTTAGATTGAAGATTAAAGCTTTTTTTTTTTTAACAGGAAATTTTTTTCTATATTTTACCGAATTTTTATTCTCTCTCCGTCTTTAACCACAGGATGCTAAAATTTTTCTCGTTGTCATCAGAAGAAAAACAGATTCTTCAGTCATGAGTCAACGTTTTTACGTAGACCGCGGTTGGGTTTCTGTTAGATGAGAATAGAGAAGTAGTGTGGGACAAGAAATGAGTGAGAAAACTGGATCAAAATAATGTTGGTTATTCCATAAAATGTTGGTCTCAATACTGAAATCGAGTCAATTGATTTCCGGTAAGCGGAGTAAACGGTAGCTCTGTTTCCACTTTTAAATTATACCTCATTCATCCTTTCATTCATTTGCTCGGACTGTGTCTTGAACCGACAACGGTCCTGCGTCCTCGTAATAAGCAAAAAAGATCTCCCAAGAAAGCCCATTACTACTCCATCAAGAGTAGGGACGAAGAAATTATCCACTTGGAAGATAAAAAGCGTAGCAAAGTCAATTTCACCTTGGGACCACCGTAGTTATTTTTATCCTATGGGATTACCACGAGTATGTGTAAATGTGTAAAAGAACCTTTAGTTGCTACATCAGCTTACAAAACTTTATTTCCATGACGAATTAAGTCGTTCATTAAAAATCTCTGCCCAAATTTTTCAATCTCAGTCATCTCAATCCAATCTGATTTATTTAATCCAATTATTATTTTAAATTATAATGAATTACGTTTCAATTTTTTTTTTTTGGTATTTATTTAAAAATGATGGGAACTTTCTAATTAAGTTTTCCCAAACTCGTGTAAATTCCTCTATCAATCATATCTGCACTCGTCTTTTCGTAGCTCCCCTGATTCGACCATCTTTCTAACAGCGTAAATTAAAATATAGAACAATTATATATTCATTATTCCCTAAAAATTGATCTAGAGCCTAAATTATGTATTTTTACTTTACTTTTTTATTTAAATAACAAATTACTAAATGATACTTTATTTACAGGAGAAATTAATTCCAAAGGACGATTGGTGTCCTTGGCCACTTGGTGGCCTAGAAGTCGTTAGCGATCCAAAGAGTAAGACACGAGGACTCGTGCTATGATCAGCATGGAGTTACCAGGGCATACGACGCAGCACGGCGCACTTCACCTCGGGGTCGGCGTGCCCGTCAACCCTGGAGATCCAGCTGGCAGCGCGTTAGCTGCCATTCACTCTCATCACCAAGATTCCCTGACACTTCAGCACCACAATCACAGTGGCACCTCATCTGGAGGTATGCATGAGGAGACTAAGAAAAAACGTAAGTTTCTTCTTACGAATCCGATCAATTGTTTGTAATAAATTATTCATTAGATGATAAATAATTGCAAAAAATGACATATTAAACTCATTAAACGATCAATTGATTTATTCTGAAGAATTAACTACGGTTATTATCATCATCATCATCAACTCCTAAGTAGCTCTTAAAATAAGATTGATGGAATACATGTTTTCTGAGCTCTGGAAGTATTTTTACATCATCCTATCACATAAGTTATCATGTTTTTTTGAAGGCAATATGTAGAAAGAATAGCTCAAGTGATAAATAACCTGATCATGGTCTTGGATGAAGAGATGAGTATGTTACAAGGTAATTGATCTCCTTCTTGTCTGTTTCCGAATGAATGCCAGGTTTCTAAAGAAGTCGTTCGCCTGCGGCTCCTTTAAAGCCGTGTAGACGTGATTTATGTAACTGCCCCTGAGGCGACAATCAACAGCAATAAAACCTAGTGTACGATGTCAATCAGAGTAACACATAAGAGATGAGTGGATTAACTCCTCAGACCTCCCACGAATTGAAACACCACGTGTCCAATTATCCAAATGTATTAGTTCAATTAACGAATTACAAGAAACTGGAGAAAGCTTTTCTGCTTATATATTCATCAACAATCATCATTCTGACTTTAATATTCCACTACTGACATGCTGATGATGATTACAAAACGTCCAAGTTACCAGAGATACCAGACAAAGACTTCTACAGTGGTAAAAACGTGAAAGACAGCTTTGTTAGGTTCAAACAATCGCGTTAGCACAGGAGGAAGGTGGAACACAAGTCGCACGAGCTTCCTTATAAATGCCCTGTTACATTAGGAAAAACACCACGTGGGGTCCGAGGAGATCGTTAAATTACATGATTTTAAATAATGCTGGTAACAAGTTAATCCAATTGTTGACAGGCCACACACATTCAGTTGGTTTTGTATTATTTAAATTAATAATATATATTTTTTAACAAGTCATTACCTTTATAAAGGAAACCGTGATAGAATATATCTTTTTAATCTCCAACCATGATCACATACATACACACACTATTATTTCCTACAATAAACCTTTTGTTGCATTAATTACATATATGAATGCATCTATAAAAGCATTTCAATGTTTAATTGCATTAAGACTAGAATTTCCACAAATGAACAATATTCTATTGGAATTAATTATTTTTATTTCTATAAAAAAAACTGGTTGCTCATTGTATCTATAGAAATGAACAAATTGTTTATCAATAAATAATTCATAATAAATTATTATTAGTAGTAGGGTTGATAATTAATTTATCGGTATTTTTGATCGAGTAGAAAACTACAATAACAACAAAAATGGCGGTTACGTTAAATGACAAAATAATAATAGTTTTGGAATAATTTTTTTTTTTACATTTGTAAATCATTGATGACCTTATGACTCTTTGGAAAAATATTCATTGATATCTGTTTTATTGAGAGAAAAAAAAAATTATCTCGTGATATTTATATTCAATTTTTACATCACCTCGTCAGTTACAATCAAATACTGTAGACATAATTGTCGACTCGATACACCTTGCAATAGTCAACGATTATCTCCGATCGAGCGTGTCTGCCAAGTTGCATTAATTTGTAATTAATGCCTATGCGCGAGAGTTTCGAGACAACGTGGACGGTGGAAGGATTGAGGCTATGGGTATTCCTGAGTCCATAATCTTTGTATGTAGTACATATATACATATATAAGATACGTAACACGTTTAGATCGAACACCGATGTAAGTTAGCTAGTTCACCGACCTTAGATGACTGGAACTCTGGTAATTTCATCGCTTTACTATCTCAATCATGGAGCATAGAAAATACTCTTTCAGACAGAAATAAATTTTTAATCGATTTATTTATTTGAAATTGAAAAATAATTGTCAAGTTGTAAGTGAGTTGATAGCTAAAATGTGTTCACTAAGTAATATATTCTGTTTATATTTATACTAAAGCATCTTAGGGCAAGATAGAGGTCTTTATTTATGGGGTTAAATAAAGGAACATTGCAAGATGCCGCGATACCAAGGTCCTACGTACAAATAGGTTGCCATACAGGTTCACATCCAGAGCTCTGGCATGCACCAGTCGTCATAAACTAACACGCCCTAGACTCATCCCCTTCTCTCATTTATATTTTATGTATCACATAATGTCTTATTAAAAAATATTATATCTTAATAGCATCAAGTTGATAAAAAATTATTTATTTTTCAGATGATGGAAGTCATGGTATGAACCAGGATGGTAAGTGAAATTACATCAAATTATTTTATTATATTATTTTATAATTTATAACAAAGCATATAACATATATATGGAATGAGATTACAAATGAATCTTATTGCAATTCATGTTGTGCTTCATCACAAAAGACTTGTCTAGGTACTTTGTACTCAACAATTGCGTGTGCACCCGAGTGCCATATCTTCTATCTAGTCATCGCTTTCGCGTATAAAATGAGAGAAAGAAAAGGACAACGAGCACGCGAGGAAGTTGAGTAACGATCTTCTGATGTCCCTTTGACTCTCACAATCGACATCGAGTCCGAACAATGTTTATTAAACGTCCAAGTATACCGGTATAATGCAATACATTGCTAATGCTACAATCATGTTGATGTTTTTGGTGAATACGAGTTTTGCTTGAATGAAAAAAGACTCAAATAAAATAGAGACAAAAATGGAATGATTGGAAGGACAAGTTGGAGAACTGATAGCGTAGTTTATTAACGAGCATTGTAGACTGTTTGATCAAGTAAAACGATCCACTCCCAGCTTGTTTATCTCATTATTCCGTTATGATATCTCTGAAATAATTAACTGCATACTGTACTGGTTGACTTAGGTATCTTCCAGATTACCCACCAAGGTCTGTTGATGTTTTGATCAACATGGCTATTAATATTGACTTTATTTTCATTTACCTAGTGACATTAAAAGTAGGATAGAATTAATACAAACCATGTGAACTAGACCGCAATGTCTGCATTTCTCATATAAAAGCAAACAAAAGCAGAAAGTGAAAAGGATTGTGGTCGTAACTCCCACGAACTTGCAGCTATGTTAGATGATGGTTTCGTTATTATGTTTATATGTCTTCCCAAGTGCAAGAGTTGGTAATTTATGCCGAATTACCTGCCAAGAGGTGGCAGAAGAATAGAAATGAAAAAAAGTATTGTTGAATAAAAATTGCACATTTATATACCAGTGGCCATGGGTGATTGTCAGAGTTGAAAGGGTTAAATGTGTTAAGAAGGTGTGAGAGACACACCTCAGGCTCAGCTGGATCATGCTCAATATTCAACAGGTATTTACATTCGCAAATTGTTTACGTCAGATCATGATGAAATCTGTCAGAGTTTCATTTAGCTTCAAGCTCCAACTGCTGCAGTTTTGGACCCAACATTCCCTCGAGGCTTCAACTTATCTCACTTCACTTCTCCACTTATAGCAACACCAATGTTATTCATCGTTTCTACCTTTGCCACATGTGTAATTATATGCAGAATAACTTTCAGGAAGTCTTGAGATTTTGGTGTTAAGGTACAAAATGAAGCAGGAGAAAATATAATATAAGTTGATGGTTGGAAGAGAAGACATAACAGGTGTGTGATGTATAATCAGCTAAGAAGATCACGTGCTAGTATTTCTACTTTATTTGCTGAAGTTTATTACAAGTTATTAATACCTCATCTCTTACGTATTGTATCTGCATAACATTTGTTGATGTATAATAAGCAGATAATATACTTTTAGAAATAACATGTTGGAAAAGTGGTCAAGGAATAGATTCCTATTTGCTATCTTGGTCAGGACTTTATCGTTGTCAATTCGTTTTAGGACTGTATAACATCCCACACGATAGGTAAATAAGTACATGTAGGTATCGATTGAGACCACGCCTGACTTGGGTGATTTGTATTATGCTAAATAATCAGCACGATGTTGAAGAATATACGCGATTGAGAATTATAATCCTCTTGGTTATGCCAAGTCTACATTAACCCACGTGTCCAATCGTAATAACGGAAAGTTGTCGCTGGAGAAGCTTAAAAAAATGAATAATAAACTTTAAGAAAGAAGTGCAATTTGATACGCGATCGAGATTCTCATGATTCGATATGCTTTGCTGTTGAGATTATAAAGTCGATTGTACACTCTGTCGTTGTGTTAAATGTGCACTCATATCGATTTGTTCTAGACTCATGCTAAGATTACAGTGCGTGTGACTTGGATGATCGTGAATTATCAGCGAACGTGTCAACTTGATCCTTTTTATTTATTCCTATCGCTAATACATTCTAAAATAAATTTACATCTCCATCCATTTGCCAATGAATTCTAGAAATTGTTATATTCATACCTAAATGACCATCGCAAGAAGAATCATAAGCCTCAGAAATTTAATTAATTAATTAAAAAAATTTTTTCAAGTGATTAGAAGCTTCCCATCGTTTAAGTTAAATTCTATTTCATAATTCTGAAGAATTATTTAATGTGTTTTAATATGACATCACCTATTTAAGTAGCATTGTAGCCACTGGTTAAAAGGTGACTAAAATTTTAATCAAATGGGTGACGTTATTTTAAAACACTTTAAGTGTATTTAAATAAAACACTTCTTGCAGGACTGTGATTTTTAATAAACTTTTCCTTTTAAAATATCTCTATTTGTTCCACTATTTTTACTTTTATTCAATTTTCTATCAATATAGAACCTGTACTTATTTATAAACTTTATTTTAATTAACTATTTCCATGTATCTAGTATCATTTTTAGCCAATCAAGTTATTGATTTTCTTGAAAAAGAAATCTTTTATCAAAGTCGTAAATAATATTTAAGTGGGAGAAAGAAATATTAATGAATATTTGATTAGACTTTTTTAGAAGAATCACTTGATGTGTGTTGATGTTTTTTTGCAATAATTTCTCTAGTGCAATCTAGATAGACGGACAGCTTAGCGATAAGTCTTTCTTCCGTAGGCCTTTGCCCTCATCATGAAGGGAAGTAGAAACCGTATTGATTAAGTATAGGACTTGGACTAGTTTGATGTCGGAACTCTTGAAAGGACGAGAGATGCGTGACGATGTACGTGACGCGTCAGTTAGATCCTCCTATCTCTGGTACTATACTTCTCTTCCGTGTGCATATGGTTTTGTCTGCAGTAGAGTGATGCCGTGCGATCTAGGTTGACCAAGGGTGTGGCTCTCTCTCGTCCACAACGGTATTACTCTGCATACCTATCATTGGAACCAAATCGTCTGGAATGTTTGTAAGTCAAAACTCGACTGGGATAAAATTTTTATTTTATTTATTTATTTCATCAAAGAAATTTATTTAATAACATTATTAAAAATGTTAATTATGACAGCAGACATTTCGTATGAGGGAAACGTCAATCACACGCCTACACCAGAGAGTAGGGTCCCAACCAATGAACAAGTCTCGACGAGTGTACGCTTGTCACATTTGCTAATCGTCGTATGGCGTCTGAATACTCTCCAGAGAGAGAGAGAGTTTAAGCATGGAAGAAACAAGATGTCGGTCTTGATTCCGTTCAAATCAGACCAAGATGTATCAAGTTATCACAAAAAAATATCTCGCGTCCTTGACAGTTTATTAAGTCAAGTAGTGTAACCGTTAGAAAATCGACTTTAATAACGGATTGTTGCGTTAAAGAGACGCGTGAATGTAACAGAAACACGGTAGAAAGAAAAAGTGATAGAAAACAAATGACATAAAAAAAAGGTACAGCAAAGAAGGACGATAAAAACGAGAATATAGCACTGATGACATGAGTAGTGGACACTCTCGGACGTTGCCCAGTGGTGTGTAACTCACTACATCGTAATTAGAATGTCTCTCTCGTGGTAATTACACTTAGCCTGCAAAATACGATGTTTGAATAGAATTTTTTTTTGAAACACTATTGCTCGAGAAATGATTCAAACGAAAAAAAGAACCTCAACATGTTCTTCTATTATTATCGACAGTTAGTAATTAGGAATGAAATTAAAGACCTCAATCATAAAATTGAAGTTTGGAAAAATACTTAGAAATTTATTCAAATGGTGATTTTTTTAGAGTTCATAATGTAGCTCGACGGCTAATGAAAAAGAATGTAGTAGAGCTGATACGAGATGGTAGATAGATAAGAAGCCGCAGGCCACCGGTCCTGCAGAGAAAGTCGTTGCGATTCTAGCGGTATAAACGACGCTCGCAAGCTGCTGATACCGCGCATAAGAGCTTGAGCGCGTATAAAACGAGCCGTCGTATTATCTATCAATGATCGCAATCAAGAAAACTCGCCAAGAGAGAAAGAGAAAAAAGAAGAAGGAACAGATTCAGTCTATACTAGAGCAAATGAGATCTCTTATGGCGCGATAGTCCACGAACGATATGCTGCGCACCAATTAGAGACGTTTTATGCACGACCCCCAGGAAATAATCAGCTGCTTTATACTGTCATTAAGATACTTTTGACGAATGACTCAAGTCTTTGGAATCGGTTCATTGAAAGACTATTTATTCATCATATTAACTAATAAATTCAACTTAATGATTAGTTGGTATTTATTGATATCCAATAATTAGTCCAGTCAATATGCTTCAAACATTTGAAGTTCATTGGATATTAATCGATTTAATTAATACCAAACAATTTGGTATTAATTAAATGTCATTACTTTTTGAAATAAAACATGGATTATGACAAATTCGTAATGACTAGACTAAATATCAATTCTTTTCAAGAAGTATTTACATATTTTTTTTTCTACTTATTAATGAATTGTCACAAGCGTATATTTACGAGCATTATTTTCACAATAATAACAGAGTAAGTTTAAATAATTGATTTTATAAAAAAAAAATGCAACAAGAAAAGAACATTAAGAGATAATGAATGACGTTTTTAAGTGGTAATTATAATCAGTCAATATGTTAAACACTAAAGTAATTACAAAGCTACATGTGAGGTTCATTTAACAAGCGATAGAGCATGACGCCATCAACTCACCGCGACGAGGTGCTGACTTCTTCCTTGTTTGGACCCATCTCTGGATCATTAGGTCTATACACAAATCATCATCATCGTTGTCGTCATTACCATCATCATAGAGAATTCTGCAGTTGGATTCTCTCATTGATCCAGACTTTTGTCAAATTATTTCATCTTTGCTCTAGTTTTCCGCATGAACTGATTGCAAACTGGTTCGTGAGCATCCAAGCGTTGTATTAATAG